TCTTATTACTGCATTAACTGACCAAGAAATCTTCATACGCTGGTCAGGAAACATTTTTTGAAGAGTGTAGATGACTTAGGAGGCCAAGTCCTATTTTCTAACGTAGCTGGGCTTAAGACTTAAGGACTTCGGCTTCTAAATCACTCAAGGGAACTTTGGAAAAATGTAGCCATCATGTAGGTCTATTTAAATAACCATCTCTACAAAGTACACTTAAAAAAGGAATACTAGGTTTGGCTTTCTTTATTACACACTTAGGTAAGTAAGTTATGCAACTACACATTTGAAAGTCTTAACTTACACTCAGCCTATCACTGGCTCACTTGGTGACACAAGATAGCATAATCTGATACTGAGTACCAGCTATAAATTGCTAGGTTGGTCTCAGAAATGACAGTTACGGATTGGTACCAGAACTACATAATAGGGAAACCTCTCTTAAGTGACCATTCAAGTGACAAGCAAACTGGCCGATGGAAGATGGTGGCCTCCTAACAGAGACAGAACAGCACAGCAGTGGATGCTTTGAGAGCCACCTGTTACGATAACAGGATGTTTCTCTAGGGCGACTGGGTTCTGGTACAAACTTCACAGGTTTACTGCTGGTTATATGAGTCCAAAGTCACAGCGAGAATCACAAGACTTGAATGCCCCCCTGCTTTCAGCCATGTGCACTGCTTATCCCACTGCACTGTCTCTACGTATTCAGCTGAAGGAGTCTCCCTCACTTGCCTGGGTATCTGAACGCTCTGCTGTGCTCAGTGCTGCCTCTTCAAAGTAGAGCTGGACTTATTGGAAAGTTTAGTTTGTGGACGTTCATCAAGATCACAGGAGAAAGAAAAAAAGACTTCCTAACTGGGACAATCCCACAGCTGTTTTTTTCCATTGCCAAGAATGAAGGAAAGAGTCTTTGATGATTCAGACTCCTTAAACATCAGGACCCCTGCCTGTTTCACATGTACTCCCTGCTGAAGACTGAGTCTAGCATCATAGTTGCATAGTTTCATAGTTTCTAGGGTCGGAAGGGACCTGAGCAGATCATCTAGTCCGAACCCCTGCCATGGCAGGAAAGAGTACTGGGGTCAAACGGCCCCAGCAAGGTGTTCATCCAGCCTCCTCTTAAAGACCCCCAGGGTAGGAGCCAGCACCACTTCTGTTGGAAGTTGCTTCCAGATCCTGGCCGCCCTGACCGTGAAGTCGCGCCTCCTGATGTCTAGCCTAAATCTACCCTCTGCCAGCTTGTGACCGTTATTCTTGGTCACTCCTGGCAGTGCTCAGGGGAACAGGGACTCCCCCAATGCTTTCTGGTCCCCCCTGACTAGTTTGTAAATGGCCACTAGATCCCCCCTCAGCCTTCTCTTGTGGAGGCTGAACAGGTTCAGGTCCTGTAGCCTCTCC